ATTGAACACAGTGCTTTTGGTGGGCTGATGCCAGATGCATTTTTAAACTAATAATTACTTTAAGGTATTTAACAGGATTCTCTGTCTGAAAATGTATCTAAGTCCTACATGCCTTCTGTCTTTGGCAGAGTGTTTTGGCTTCTGCATACACTACAGTATCCTAAGTTGGGCAATAGGATATAAGAACTCATTTTTTTTAGTGGTTCACACAAGTCCCTATGGGCCAAGAGAGTCTCTTAAATGTAACAACGTATAAATGGACAGGAAAGGAAAAGACCTCTTATAGCCAACCTTCTCGCTGTATTTTCCCAAGAGGCCATGGGTTTATGGGGGGGGCTAGCATTCTTTGGGGTATGCTGTGTACAATGTGGCACATGTCTAGAGTGCACCATTGAGTTAGCCTTCTGAGTGATGAGGCCTAAGGCCAAGATGAAGGATACTGGAATCTTTGACTTTCACTGGCATGCTACTAGCTGAGCCAGGAGGGCAAGAGAAGTTAATATTCTCTTACATTCTTGCAGGAAATGTTACGCTTTTATTCAAGATGCGAGGTGCGAGATAACTAAAGCCAATTTAACAGCCACTTGTAAAAGTAATTACAAGATGAGAGAAATAACTATTTTGCTGGTACAGGCTGTGAAAACTAATGAATGCATCAAAACTGACAGTGAACAGCTGAATATGTAGCAAGCATTGTAAAGAATTAATCTGGAAAATACAAACGATAAAAATATACCCTTGCCTTGTGCTGGGTACTTAGAGCATGAAGGAAGAGATATAGAGTCCAGTGGAGACGGTTACTAAGGTACTGATTTTTTTGACTTAGGAGACTTGCATTGTGATAGTATAGAAAACATGGCAGAGGTGAGTTTGGCCTTGGGTTGACTTGCAGGAGCATGGTAGGCAAAGAAGCTGGGGATATTTGGTTTCCATGCAGAGGAATGAATGGGTCTGGGTGCTGAGACTGACTGGAATCTGGTGTGGCCTGAATCTTAATTAGCTGCAGAGTAGGAGTCTGGTTTCTACAAGAAGGGAATGAGGAACCCTGGAAGCCTTTCGAATTTGGAAGGTGATCCGATTTTAATAAGAGTCCATGGAGGAAATGCAGAGGCTGGTTTGTGAAGGTGCATGGTCCAGGGCAGGACTTGGAACAATCAAGGTGACAGCAAAGAATCTGGACCTTGCCAGCTGCTGCAGAGACAGAATAAAAATAGGGTGCTCTTGGGGAATTTTTCCATCTCCTCCTACTAAGAGTTTTTATAATTTTAGAAACTTTTTAAGGAGGCCTTTAAAAATACTTGGAAGAGAGAAGCTTGCTCAAACCGTTGATCAGTTCCAAAAATTTATTACATTTCAGATAGAAAAGAAAATAACTCTTCAGGCAGATGAACAAACTTTGTGTGTGGACTGGTTACTCAACATAGTCAGTTAATCTTACAGAATTAGGGAGGAGGGAAGCTATTTAGTGACCTTTAGTCTTTTTCTAGAACTTTGTCCAGATTCCTCCCAAGTAGTCAGTGAATTTTTCTGGTTTTTGTCCAGCATCCCTGGTGTTTAGTGTACATCTGGAAGCTGCAAGGCATGGATTTTTGCCATTCCTTTTTCCTTCTTCTATCTTATACCTGAGAAAACAAACAAGAGTGTGTAGGCTCTTATTCTGTGTTAGAAATTTGCACACCATGTAATCTACAGTGGATCCAGCTGAAACTGTAGCTGAGACCTCCAGCTGAGGTTTGGAGTTGAAAGTAAAGTAGAACCTTTATGTTTTCTTTACTTTGAGAAAAGCTCAGTGACTTGGACTATTTGAAGAAGAATGTATATAAAATACTGTTTAATTGATAACTGGGATAAATCATTACCTTTGTCTTTTCTTTTTTGTTCTTTAAACAATTTATTTAGCTGAAATACCTTATGCTGACTTCCATTTATTTTGATACATCTTTTCTCCATGGTGATTTAGAGGATCATTAATCCTATATAAATATTTCATAACTATTTGGCCATTTGGGTATATATCTGCACAGTACCTCACATTTTTCAGAAGGAAAACACTGACAAGTAAAGATCTGACATGGTGAACTAGGCACAATGAAAATCTGCTCCAAAAATGTGTTCCTCCTAGGTAAAAGCACCACACACCTGTTCCATTAAGAAAACCACAGGATGATTTTTTATTTTTAAGTAGGGCCTAGAACACATAGCTGCTAATGAGGTGCTGACTGGCAGAGCTCCATCCCCAGATTATGCCATGAATTCATAGGGTACAGGTTCCAGCAACTCAGGCTCTTTACCATTGGTCCTCACAAAGGACACTTCTTTGGGAAGAGCAGGCCGGTGCTTCAGTGGAACCCAGATACCATCTTTTTGGCTTCTTTCTTTTCTGATTATTCTCCTTGTCATGTTTCAGGAAGCTATCTTGATTCTTTTAATGTGCTTAGTTAATACACACAATCTTCTGGCAAGTATTTGCCCTTAACTTGCTTGTTTTCAACAGGGTCAGAAATATGCTGGATAGCTTTGTGGACTTTTCCTGATTCACCATGCCAAGCTGTGGCATTCCTTTGGCCCAGTACCCATTCCCTTGATATGTACAGTATCATCCTCTTCTTTGTATATTAGCATGTGTGTGGCTAAAGCAACAACCCCACATTTTCTGAAGGGCCTAGGGAACATATACCGGCTTCCCTTCCTCTTCCCCTTTGTGCTCGTCATTTTGGCAGATTACTGGAAGATGGGGATTCCAGATGAAAGGAAGGGGACCACCATTTTTTCTTTAATGTCATTAAAATACTTTTACCCACAACTTAGAGCTTCTCAATGGAGAATTTAAATTTAAAATACCTTGAATTTTGAAGAACACAAAATCCTTATAAAATTAACCTGTCTTTTGGATTAAGAAGTCCCAGGCTGATGAGGCTCAATCCATGTGTAAGTTCCAAAGGCTTATAATTATTTTCTCTTTCTTGAGGCTTGAGTATTTCAGAAAGTTCTTGCCATGTGTCTTAGAGGCTTGCTATATGGAGAGCAAGAAAAGTGACTGACCTGTGGGCTGACTTCACTTATAGGTGTATATTCTACCTTGGCTACAAGAGAGTCATTCTAATAGTGTATGGGATAAGTAAAGTGGTTTATTAAGGTCAAATTATATGTGAGTCTTAAAGTAACATAAATGTTATCTGCAATTTTAGTTACCTATAGTATAGAGATTTCTGGTTTAATGTAGTAGCTATTGTTATTGGGTGGTTCCTTTAGAAATGACTTTCCAATCAAAAGTAGTCCCTGTATTCCTTGCCTTGAACAAAGAATTGGATGAGACAAGCTAAAAACAGTGGCAAAAATTTATTTGAAAAGCGAGGGGTGAATGGGTATGGAAGAAACCAGCTATGTAGAGCAAACTGGGGCAGAACAAGAGACAAAGAAGATAAAAGCAAAAATTAAAGAACACTGTGTATCTTGGAAAAGCAGTGAGGGTTATGGTGGAAAGTTAGGGTAGCAGGCTTCCTGTGATATGCCCGCTTCTGAGCTCCCCAGAAGTTCTACGCATGGGGTCCTAGTGTTGACCTGGGACCTCGAAACTGACAGGTCCCTTTCATTTTCCCAGCCAGATTTGCCACACCCTGTCTCCTGTTTCACTATGGTAGAGGAATAACGGAAGATTCCTACTAAATTCATGCTTTATGAAATATAGTTGTTAAATTGTTTCCATACCAAGGATTATAATTTCTTAGGACTTATTTTTCAAGAAAACTATCATGATACTGAAACTGTGCTGATCCTGTTGGCATTTTACCCCATGTGCAGGATAGTCTATATGTTAAAATTTATAATTTATATACTTACAATAAATGATATATTTTAAAACTCAATTACATTTTATTTTTGAGCATAAGTTCATTCAAATGATTGGGAATTTATTGACTTTTATGTGCGCATCTTTTAGGAAAAGTGTGGAAGTTTCCTCTTGCCCTTGAATAGAAGATATTGACTGAGAGGCAGAGATAAAAGATAATTATCTTGGGGCTGGGGATTTAGCTCAGTGGCATAAGCACCTGCCTTGCAAGCAGGGGGTCATGAGTTCGATCCCCGGTACTGATAAAAAGTTACAAAAAAAATATAATTATATTAAGTACTGAGATAGACACTGTAGGGTGAATATGGAAAATGAAGCCCCCACACCCATCACCTAACTCCAGCAATTATTAGCTTAGTTAAGCTTGTTTGTCCTTTATGCCCACTTACTTCTCTCTCCATTTTACAGTGTTTTGTAGTACATCTAATACAATGTATCATGTGATGGACATTTATACATATTTGAATGGAGTGCTCTCAAAATGTAATGCCAAAATTATCCCCAGAAAGTTAGGAAGGAGCTATACAATAAAGTAATATTTGAGCTCCTAATGAGGTGAGGAAGAGATGTTCTGGTTCTAGGTCATGGGACTGGAATCAACAATATTAGAATATCTTGAAAACATTTGTATGTGCCGTAGTTTTTTTTTGTTTGTTTGTTTCTGTGAAATGAGCACCAAAGATCTAATTTCCATGATTAGGAAATTATTTTGCTGAGAAATGTGTAAAGCCAATTCACTTTGAATTTCAATAAACTAGGGTAAGCCACAAGTAGTGGTAATGACTAATCTTTTCCCTTTTTTACCTCAGTGACTTTCTAGACTTTGTACATTAGAGTCCACCCCCTTGAAAAATCATTCTGCTTTGTAAGAAGTGTAACAGCCACCCTTGTCACCTTTATTTTTATCTTTGAAAGAGGAGGAATAATCATCTCTGAACATCATGACTAGGTTGAAGTTAATGATTTGAATGAAAAACTTTCTTATAAACTGGAGGAAAAAGAAATCAACCAGCGTGTACACAGAAGTTCCCAAGGGATGTTTTTGGTTTCCTACACTGTGAAATCCTTGCTATTTCATTGTATACCTTTTCTCATTTTCCTATTATGAAATGATTTTTTAAATGTAATTATTTTCCTCATCTGTTTCCAGATCACAGAACTGTGTGGTGCAAAGCGGGTTGGTTATTTTGGTCCGACACAGTTTTATGTTGCCCTGAAATTAATCGCTGCAGCACAGTCCGGCCTCCCTGTGCGGATAGAGAGCATTAAGTGTGGTGAGTACTTTGTATTTATATGTTGCCCATATTTATATGAGATTTAAAGACTGTTATTTAAGCTTTCTTAGTATTTCTCCTCTCTTTCTCCAACTCCTCTGTAAAATAAAGTAAGAAAACTGAGAAGTAGCTTAGTTTGTTTCCTTTTTTATTTTTTATTTGTTTTTTGATATGGAGAAAAAATTCAGAGAGTGACATGAGATTGGTTTCTTCTTAACTGACTTGTAGTTGAAATGGATTTTGTTTAGCAGAATGAGATTGGGGAAGGAATTCTAGAGCCCATGGCAAGATAATAACATCCAGTTTAATTTTCCACTTGAGGTTCCTACTGGATTAGTTGTGGAGTCATAGGAGTTGGAGTGGAACTGTTCCTTTTCTCTCTCTGACAGTCCTGTCAGTCATATCAGATATGCTCATCCTTTAATTCCCAATTCCTGAAGCTCTATTCCAAGGATGATTACATACTCTGGGGCTCCCAACATTTTGGCAGAATGAATCATCTTCTCAGAGTTCTGATAGAATACTTCATTATTGTGCCATCTCTGTCTCCAGTGCACTGTGTGCTTGCATGGTTTCCACAACTTAAACAGTGTGAAGCTAACTATTAAATTATCTATGCTGCCTCAGTAGGAGTTTTAAAAATCTATATGAGCTAGGTATGGTGGGGAATGTAATTCCAGCACTTTGTGAGACTGAGGCAAGAGAACCTCAAGTTCAACTGTCCAGGCTTACTTGGCAATCTAAATTAGCAAGCTCTTTGTGAAAAAAAAAAGACTTAGCAAAGCTCTTTGTGAAAAAAAAAAGAGCTGGGGATATAGGTCAGTGCAAAGGCCGATGTTCAGCCCCCAGTACCACACACACCCACACGCACACACACCATACACACGTATGAGGAAGATGATGACTGTAGTAATGCACTGAGGTCCTCTATGTCATAATTTTTTATTTTCCTCATTTGGAGGTAGAAATTACTTAGCTCTTCACTCCTGTCCTGTGAAGATTCTGGTAGTCATCTACATAGGTTTAGAATTTGTGGTTAGTGCATAGAGATCCTGTGGCGCGATCCAAATATCCCAAGAAGATTGTCGTAACCAGCTTTTGTCAAGGGCCTAGAGTGGCCTGGCACTGTCTCATTGAACCCTCCCAGGACCCCTGCCCCCAAGTTAGGTGTAGCGCTTGTGTAAGTTTGCATTGTTTAGGACAAGCTGCAGTGTTGCTGCCACCAGTCTCAGTGCCATAAATAGATGCTCACTTCTCATTTTGCAGTGGGCTGGGTGGACCCTCCAGGGCAGCTGCCCTCCTAGTGGTGATTCTGTGGTTCTGACTGCTTTCCTTTATGGCACCTCCAATACAATACCTGCTCCCACACTTATCATGACAAGGAAAGTTCCTCACCCTTGCAGTTCAGTTATGTGGCCAGGGCATGACTCATGTCGCTGCTGCTCCTGGTGCATTGGTAAGCACTCATCACAGGGATCTGCCTCCCTGCAGAACAGTATGTGGGAACACAGTTTTCTCCTGTGCCTACAAGGAGAGTGGAACTGGTTGTGGCTGAGCACTGCAAGCCTCTACTGCTGAAGTCCCTGTCTTACAGATGTGGTCATTGAATTTAGGGAGGTTGAGTTACTTGCCTAAGGATATAGGGTTAGTAGAGCTTCATTGCTGTACAGAATAGCTTCTCTTTTTCCCCCCCTTTTTGCTCTTAGTAGAATACTGATTTTATACTCATGGGATATTTTCCAAATGGGAAGAAATTAGACTCAAATGACATGTCTTAACAGAATTTGGTTCTTTGAGACAGGTTTATTTTTTCCATTTTTTCTTACTTTCTTTGTGTGTGTGTGTGTGTGTGTGACTGAGAATTGAACCCAGGGCCTTGTGCATGCTAGGCCAGTGCTCTACCACTGAGCTACATCCCCAGTCCTAAAATAGGTTTTTTTTGGTTCTGTTTTGTTTTGGGGGGATATTTGTTGTGCCATCTATGTTTCTTAAAAATTTATGTTTATTGAGTATAATTTACAGATAAAATCATATATATGTAAGGTATGTAGCATCATGTTTGGAAACACTTATACATTATGAAATGATTACTACAATCCAGTTAATTAGCATATCTATCATCTTATGTATTTGTAGCAATAATTAATTTCCCCCAATTAGGAATAGTTTATAATAGCAAAAATGAAAAATATTCTTAAATAAAAAGAAAAGTGTGCCAGGCATAGTGGCACATGCCTATAATTCCAGAATTCTGGGAGGCTGAGGCAGAAAGATCACAAGTTCAAGTCCAGCCTACACGATTTAGTGATTTTTTTTTGGTACCAGGGATTAAACTCATGACCTCATGCTTAACCAGGCAAGCACTTGAGGCACTGAGCTAAATTCCTGGCCCCGCAATTTAGAGATTTAGTGAGACTTTGTCTCAAAAAATCAAAGGGCTAGAGATGTAGCTCAGTACAAAGACTCTGGGTTCAATTTTCAGTAGCCCTTACCCCCCTATACAAAACAAAACAAAAAAGAAAAATGTGCTTTGTCTCTCCCAGAGATATTAAAACAGTTAAATGAATACTATTCTAGACCATTTCTTGATATCTTTATGCATCAGTTCATTTTCAAAAAGAATTGGCAAAGCCACATATACTACTTTAATAATATTCTGCCTTACTTAAGAGGGAATGTAGTTGACAGCTTTTCACCTCAATAAATGAAGTAGATCTCTTATTGGAGCATTGTTTCTTTGGGTGACTTGGTGATTGTTGCTACAACACAGCAGTTGCTTTGATGGTTGAAAGGTGCATCATTGAACTTGGATTTATCATAGGCATTGGCAGATCTTATTTCATTGTAAATGGTCATTAATCCTTATTGTAGTATATTCCAACATTATCTTCTGGGAAAGTTTGAGCTGCTTTATTGAATACAAGAATAAACTTCTGATGCTTTTGTTTCATATTGGATTTAAGCCTTTTACCTGATTTGTGCCCAGATCTACAGTTTAGTTTCCTAGAGGCTGGGAGAAGGATTGTCAAAGTAATCACTAATGTAAAGGATGAATGCCTTCTCACAAATTATAAGGCATTCTTGTTTGTAGTTTATAAACACTCATGTTGTCTTTTACCTGTGGGGGTTTAAGTGTACCCAGAGTTAATTCTGAATTACCTTCCTTCATTTAAAGATTAAATAAAAGTTATTTGTAGAATATGGACATGTACACCCAGCATTTGGGAGGCTGAGACAGAAGGATCACTACCAGCCTGGGCTACATAGTGAGTTCAAGGCCAACCTGAACTACACAGAGAGACCCTGTTTCAGAAAAACAAAACAGCTTATTTTCAGTCAGTGTATTTTGAGTAAGAAGGAGGGCAAGATTGGGCCAAAATTTGAGCTGCCACTTATTATTTTCCAGTTTACTGCTTGCAGTCCATTAGCCTAATGTTTGATGACATAAACCTTGAAGGCCAAAAATTTCTTTGTAAGAACTTAATCCAAAAAGTTATAGAAGCCTCATCACCCCCAGGGAGTCACAGTCAGGGAGTCGTGGATGGACATCCTTACCTATGCGGATATGTATGCCAACCAGTGTCCCTTAGTAGTTTCCATTTTAGTTAACACCACCACTGTCTCCAAATGTTCGTGCTGCAAACCTAGGAGTCATCCTGGACCTTTCCTTCTCCCGCATTCCCCAGGCCAGTGCACCAACAATTCTGTTATCAGGTAGCTTGCTTCTAAAAAGTGGCTCAGCAACTAAGTGTTACCGATTTTAGGGTTTCTCGCCTCTCCTGAAGTTAGATTCCAGGTTCTTCGTGTCTTGAACAAAACATTGACCATAGTGAGCAAAAAGTAGTGGCAAAGTTTAAGAGTAGGAGAGAAACTGGCTCTGCAGAGTGAGTTTGAACTGGTTAAATAGAAGAAGAGAGGAAGAGAGCAAAGAGGAAAAAGGGCACACTGTACCTGGGAGACACAGCGAGGGCTATTGTGGAAAGCTACCATGGCAAAGTCTTCATGCATCTGTGTCCTATTATGCTATCTAAATCTTGAGAAAACCCACAAGAACTTCTACATGGGGGTCCTGAGATGTGGTGGTTGGATCCCATGGCTCGGGCTGAGGCCAGGTCTACACCACCCTATTGGAAACCTGTTCCAGTTCTTATGAGAAGTCCATGTACAGGACTTTGGAAATGGTTCTGTGCATGTGTCAGGGATCTTGAAGTTAACAGGTCATGCCAACTTCTCTGGCCAGCTTTTGCCACACCCTAATCTCCTATCTCAGTCCGGGCAGTGTGACTCTACTTTTATTATCTGTTGCCTCCACCTCTTTGTCCCTGCTCCACTAGTTTATCTTCCACCGTACATACCTGGGTAGCATGATAGCTTTGCCTCCTTTCTCTATTCACTCTTTCCACTTTGGAAATTATATATATATATATATATATATATATATATATATATATATATATATTGGTTGTGACAAGATCTCACTATGTGGCTCAGGATGTCCTTGAACTCACTATGTAGTCCAGGCTGGCCTTGACTTTGAGATGATCCTTCTGCCTCACTCTCCTATGTGCTGGGATGCTACAACACCTGGCAAGGAAGACCAGTGTTTTAAAATAGGTGTCATATCATTTCATCCTTCCTCTTAAAATCCTCCACTACTTTACTTGTTGTACATAGTAAAAAAATTCAAAATCCCTGCAGTGATCTGTAAGGTCTTGCATAATCTAGTCTTTGTCATTGGGCATGGTGGCATATACTTGTAATCCTAGCACTTGGGAGGCTGAGGCAGGAGGATTGTTGAGAGTTCAAGGTCAGCCTAAACTACAGAGCAAGACCCTGTCTCAACAAAACAAAACAAAAATCTAGTTTCTGTCAATGCTCGATTTTCATCTGAGACTTCACTCCCTTGTTTGCAGTTTGTCGCTTAGTCTGTGGTCATTTAGACATTTCTGAGCAATCTCTTTTCTGATCCAGGATGTATACTCATGTCATTTTGTGGTCTT